CGCTGGCTGAGGAGCTGGAGTCAAGGCCCGGCAGTAAGGCGCCGAGCAGCAGGGTAATCAGGGCCGTCTCAGGCTGAGAGCATGTCAGCTGCCTGTGTTGCGAAGAGAACGGACACAGCCAGTGGCTTCTTCTGTAACAGTGACGGCGCTTCGCCCGCCACACGAAGAGCCCTACTCGGCCCCGCCCTGCCCAGACCGTACGCTGCGCTAAAGCCCCCGTGCGCGGGCCGGAAATGCGACCGAAAGGTATCAGCGGTGGCGATACCCGACCACGGCGTCAAGCACGTGGACGCGACTCGATCTTTCCCGGCACGACAGCGCACCATTACGCGAGGGTGTCTCGTGGCGGGCGCAGAGAGGATCCAGGGCTGACGGGCGCCGGTCCTGCGCTCGGAGGCGCTCCTGCCGCGCGCCAGACGCTGCTCCGGCTCGTGACCCGGCGGTGTGACCCGGAGAAGCGCCCACGTCCAGACTGGCTGCCCCCGCCTCCGGCCTCACAGTCAAGGGCGGGCGCCGCGCCAGCAGCAGGATGGCCGGACCTATCCTGCCGGCCTTCTCCAAGCTGAGTGCGCTGCTGCACACGCGCGAGGCGGAGCCCCGCATGGACAACCTGGTGCTGCGGCTGCACTACCGCGTCACCGCTCGCATCCTGTTGCTGTTCGCCTTCGTCGTGTCCACCCGCAGCCTGGCCGGCGAGCCGATCGAGTGCACTACCGACTCAAGTGTGCCGCGCCAGGTTATGAACAGCTACTGCTACGTGGCGGCGACATTCAGCGTGGAGGGCTCCGGCGGCGCCGCCGCTGATGAGGCGCCGGCCGGCCTCGGCCAGGGCGGCGAAGCGAGGCATCACTCTTACTACCAATGGGTACCGTTCGTGTTCGCCCTGCAGGCGCTCACCTTCTACATGCCGTTCACAGTGTGGAAGCACATGAGCGGTAACGTGCTGCGCAACTGCTTCAGCTTTCAGCTGGATATGCCGGACACGACGATGCACGGGAGCTCAACCAAGCTGATCTCCTTCGCGGGCTACCTCTCAGCTCGCATGGGACGCGTCAACCAGGGCCTGGTCAAGGCATTCTTCGTTGTCGAGTTCGCGTGCCTCCTGAACGTCATCGGCAACATCTTCCTGCTGGACGCCTTCCTCGGCGTCGACTTCGGCAGGCACAGTGCGGTTCGGCTGGCCACCTTCCTGGGTCTTGCGCACAATGATGGCAGCGCGGACACCGTGTTCCCGCCGGTCGCCAAGTGCACCTTCCTCAGGTACGGCTACTCAGGCACCATCGAGCGCATCGACGCCGTCTGCGTGCTGCCGCACAACGTTTTCAACGAAAAGCTGTTCGTGTTCCTGTGGCTGTGGGTCTCGCTGCTGGCTTCCGTGACGGTTGCACACGGCCTCTTCCGCGTCGTTTCGCTGGCCGTGCCGAAGGTCCGGCGGAACGTGCTGCTGGCGCTGATGTTAAACGAGTTCCGCGACGACGGCCGCCAGGTGTTTGAGCAGTGCACCGTGTACGACTGGTTCCTGCTCTGCAACATCGCCAAGCGGATGGACACGCTGGCCTTCAGCGAGCTGGTGCACCACCTGGCCGCCAGCCACAAGGAGCTGCTGCTGCCGGTGCTCACCGCGCCCGGCATGTCCAGACGCGCCTCGCAGTGGTCGGAGGGGCACCGCCGCTCCACCGACCACCCCAAGGTCACCCCCTGACGGCACGGCTGCCACCACCACTCGGCTCGCTAGTTCGCACCTGACGGAACTGGGGCCGTGTATTGCTATTACGCCCCGCCGGGCAATGCAAGAGGCTGATGACTGATTGGGTGAAACCAGGCTGAGGCAAAGACCGACGGTAAGATCCTGACGGAAACAAAGACACCAGGTTGCTAGCAGCTATTGGTGTGTGGCAGGGTACACGTGGTCAGACGCAATCCAGAGTCCGATGGCTAGAAGGAGGGCAGTGGCGCAATATAAAGGCTGGACTGCTTGGTGGCGATACAAAGATGATGCACTCTGTTGATATAATTGGTAGTCATCCAAACATGGGATGCATTAAACTGATCATTTGTGTCTTTTTAGTTGGTCGTACGGTAGTTTACGGATACATAAATTTATGTAAGGTGTTTCTGTGACCAAGTCAGTTTACATCTGTTACCAGTCGGTCAAATTGTTTGACTCTGACTGACATCCCTAATTCGAATGATGCCTCCACCCCGGTGAGGTGAGGCTGATCGCCCTTACACGAGTGAAGCCGTGCGCTTTTTGCTTATCATCACGACATTGTGTACATCGTAACTGATGACATGAAATTCTTCTATCACTGAAATAGCGTCTTGGAAAATGTCCTAATACACTAGTTGCGAACAAGCGTCGTTCATCACCACATGGCGCCGTATTAGCACCGCATTTCGCGCTACCATTCGCCCCTATGCCATGCAGCTGACGTATATACGTCTTCCCCACTACGTCTTTTTACCTCGCCTTGTTGAACGTCTGTTTCTTCGTCCTTACAAACTCATGGATGTAAGTAGGTAAAGGTATATATGTGTGAAGACATGCGTGCGCTGCCGGCCCCCAACACGAGATGGCCACAGCAGTGACGTGTCCTCCAGACGCTCACCTCCACAGCAGCGACGTGCCCTCCAGTAGCTCACCTCCACAGCAGCGACGTGTCCTCCAGACGCTCACCTCCACAGCAGTGACGTGCCCCCCAGACGCTCAGCTCCACAGCAGCGACGTGCCCTCCAGACGCTCACCTCCACAGCAGCGACGTGTCCTCCAGACGCTCAGCTCCACAGCAGCGACGTGCCCTCCAGACGCTCACCTCCACAGCAGCGACATATCCTCCAGACGCTCATCTCCACAGCAGCGACATGTCCTCCAGACGCTCACCTCCACAGCAGCGACGTGTCCTCCAGACGCTCAGCTCCACAGCAGCGACGTGTCCTCCAGACGCTCAGCTCCACAGCAGCGACATGTCCTCCAGACGCTCACCTCCGCAGCAGCGACGTGTCCTCCAGACGCTCACCTCCACAGCAGCGACATGTCCTCCAGACGTTCACCTCAACAGCAACGACATGTACTCCAGACGCTCACCTCCTCTCACGTGCAGTTGATCCAGGAAAGGGAACCATCTGACGCCAGGCGCCGCGCCTGAGACGCTGGCCGTACCTCCCTGCGGTAGTGACTCACAAGCTTCCACAGACGTTGAGCACTCGAGGCCGGTCGGGTCAGGTCAGGTCAGGTCAGGTCAGGATGTCCTCCTGGTCCTCAGTAATCGCGGTACTTGACGGATTATCCGGGCCGGCGAAGAAACGGCACTACGCGTCCACGTATGTCTGGAGCGCAAGACGTTGGCATTAAATATCAGCCACACAACGAGAGAGAAGTTAAAAGTTTGGTTGTGGCATATCCCCAGGACTAGAAATTTTGACAAATTTTGGGGGAGACGTCATCTAAGTGAAGAAAAGCTTGCTTTGTAGTGCTGTGAAGAACAACTTAGGAGGAAGCGGTCATTAATGCTTATGCATATATCGATATTTCTTATGGCTAGAATGTTGCACACCCAAGATTTAGCAGCAATCCACGTGTCGCTATGTGAGTGCGTGCCAAACGGTTGCAGTTCTAATGGTTCATTGTCCGTTGAAGTTCATCACAAGTAGTCGACCAGTGCATGGCAAATCGCTTTCCTGTCCATGGAGGACGGGGATCCGTCGCAGCGGTGAATCCGAGAGGTACAACTGGCACGGCCCCGAGACCGAGACAAAGCACATGGCTTTGGTATGCAGGCTGGCTTTCATGACGCTGGTGTCTTCTCTAAGGATTGGTCTTCTCCATTCTTTGAGTCCCGGGTGTACATTTGCGGAATAAAACAATACCTCATTGTATAAAGAGTCGCAGACAGGATACACGTAGGCCAACACTGACAACGGGGGCACCCCACGAAGAGCTGACCAGAGAGGGACTAAACCTCCACCCAAGCATACGGTGGACGTGGAGAGTGAGAGACGGAGAGACGAGGCCCAGCACCCAACTCAGCTTAACGTACAACTCTCACGGCGCCGCGGGTGGGCGGCCACGCGGCGTGGAGCGGACCGACGCCGGCGCGACCACTCAGCCCCGCAGGTGGCGCCCCTGTTGGCAGGCATGGCCCCGCAGGTGGCGCCCCTGTTGGTAGGCGTGGCTCAGCAGGTGGCGCCCCTGTCAGTAGGTATGGCTCCGCAGGTGACGCTCCGGTCCGTAGAGGGCGCTGACTGGCCGCCGGCAGCAGAGGTGGCGTTGTTGTTGCTGCGCTCGCCATAGAAGATGAGCGCTCGGTCCGCTGAGAAGTGCGTGCTTATGAGTCATTGGGACTTTACGACGCGCTCAACTGCTGAGACTATATAGCATCGCCCGCCTCTCATCCTGGCAGGAGGAGCGGGCATATGGGCAATTCAAACCCCTAGTCTTGTTTTCCGTTTAGAGGTCTTCAAAGGTTGGTGAACCAATTGGTACCCATACAGAATGGGTGACAGGTTGGATCGGCTGGCACCATGGCAGGAAGGGCGTTCCATTAAATCGGAAGCGAATGGTAACGCAAACGTCATGCTGATGCGATGCCATGGGGTGACGGAGAACGCTGCTTCGGAAATAGTTTATTGGGACATGTTCTAAAACGCCATTTCAGCAATGGACGGCAAAGTAACATCAGTTGCAATGTACACTATGTCGTGATGATCAGCAGAAACGCGCATGGCGTCACTTGTGTTGGCGCCAGCAGTCTCCCCCTCCCTTCTCCCGGGGTGGAGGCATCGTTCGAATTAGGGATGCCAGTCGTAGTAGTCAAGTTGACCGACTGGTAACGGATACAAACCGACATGGTCGCCGAAACACCTTTCAGAGATGTTCGCACGCTTATAATATCACACGCTTCGATTGAAACACAATTATCAGTACAATCCATCACATGTTTTATTAAATCTCAAAGAAATCAACAGGAATGCATAGGTTTTGTTTTGCTACCAAGCGGCTTTTGCGTCGCTGCCCTCCTTCTACCTATCGGACCCTGGATTGCGTTTGACCACATGCACCCTGTCACACACCAATAGCTGCAAGAAGCCTGGTGTCTTTGTTTCCGTCAGGATATTATCGTCGGTGTTTGCCTCAGCCTGGTTTCAGCCAATCAGTCATCAACCTCTTTCGTCGCTCGGCGGGGCGTAATAGCAATACACGGCCCCAGTTCCGTCAGGTGCGAACTAGCGAGCCGAGTGGTGGCGGCAGCCGTGCCGTCAGGGGGTGACCTTGGGGTGGTCGGTGGAGCGGCGGTGCCCCTCCGACCACTGCGAGGCGCGTCTGGACATGCCGGGCGCGGTGAGCACCGGCAGCAGCAGCTCCTTGTGGCTGACGGCCAGGTGGTGCACCAGCTCGCTAAAGGCCAGAGTGTCCATCCGCTTGGCGATGTTGCAGAGCAGAAACCAGTCGTACACGGTGCACTGCTCAAACACCTGGCGGCCGTCGTCGCGGAACTCGTCCAGCATCAGCGCCAGCAGCACGTTCCGCCGCACCTTGGGCACGGCCAGCGAAGCGACGCGGAAGAGGCCGTGTGCAACCGTCACGGCAGCCAGCAGCGAGATCCACAGCCACAGGAACACGAACAGCTTTTCGTTGAAAACGTTGTGCGGCAGCACGCAGACGGCGTCGATGCGCTCGATGGTACCTGAGTAGCCGTACTTGAGGAAGGTACACTTGGCGACCGGCGGGAACACGGTGTCCGCGCTGTCATCATTGTGCGCAAGACGCAGGAAGGTGGCCAGCCGAACCGCACTGTGCCTGCCGAAGTCGACGCCGAGGAAGGCGTCCAGCAGGAAGATGTTGCCGATGACGTTCAGGAGGCAGGCGAACTCGACAACGAAGAATGCCTTGACCAGGCCCTGGTTGACGCGTCCCATGCGAGCTGAGAGGTAGCCCGCGAAGGAGATCAGCTTGGTTGAGCTCCCGTGCATCGTCGTGTCCGGCATATCCAGCTGAAAGCTGAAGCAGTTGCGCAGCACGTTACCGCTCATGTGCTTCCACACTGTGAACGGCATGTAGAAGGTGAGCGCCTGCAGGGCGAACACGAACGGTACCCATTGGTAGTAAGAGTGATGCCTCGCTTCGCCGCCCTGGCCGAGGCCGGCCGGCGCCTCATCAGCGGCGGCGCCGCCGGAGCCCTCCACGCTGAATGTCGCCGCCACGTAGCAGTAGCTGTTCATAACCTGGCGCGGCACACTTGAGTCGGTAGTGCACTCGATCGGCTCGCCGGCCAGGCTGCGGGTGGACACGACGAAGGCGAACAGCAACAGGATGCGAGCGGTGACGCGGTAGTGCAGCCGCAGCACCAGGTTGTCCATGCGGGGCTCCGCCTCGCGCGTGTGCAGCAGCGCACTCAGCTTGGAGAAGGCCGGCAGGATAGGTCCGGCCATCCTGCTGCTGGCGCGGCGCCCGCCCTTGACTGCGGGGCCGGAGGCGGGGGCAGCCAGTCTGGACGTGGGCGCTTCTCCGGGTCACACCGCCGGGTCACGAGCCGGAGCAGCGTCTGGCGCGCGGCAGGAGCGCCTCCGAGCGCAGGACCGGCGCCCGTCAGCCCTGGATCCCCTCTGCGCCCGCCACGAGACACCCTCGCGTAATGGTGCGCTGTCGTGCCGGGGAAGATCGAGTCGCGTCCATGTGCTTGACGCCGTGGTCGGGTATCGCCGCTGCTGATACCTTTCGGTCGCATTTCCGGCCCGGCGCACGGGAGCTTTAGCGCAGCGTACGGTCTGGGCAGGGCGGGCCGAGTAGGGCTCTTCGTGTGGCGGGCGAAGCGCCATCACTGTTGCAGAAGCAGCCACTGGCTTTTCCCGTTCTCTTCGCACCACAGGCAGCTGACATGCTCTCAGCCTGAGACGGCCCTGATTACGCTGCTGGTCTGCGCTTTACTGCCGGGCCTTGACTCCAGCTCCACAGCCAGCGGCTCCACCCGGCCTTACTCTCCATCGTGCAGTGTGTGGCCTGTTAGAACAGGTCGGTGTGCCCGCCGTTTGACCCCATACTGTGCTTGGTGAGGTCCGCCGTAAGCAGGAGGATGGGGTGAGGGTGGGAGGCTGTACGCGATACGATGCACGCTGAAGGTGACAGCAATGAAAAATGAGACGCCTTGCCACCAGGACCGCATTATCCAGTGACAAATCACCTACCAGGTATGACGTCGCAAGTGCCTACGTCATACACAAATGACTATCCTTCAAGCCGTAGCGGCTCTTGTGACGCGCTCGCCCTTGACGTCATGCGCTGCAATTGGTGGTACGACCTTTGGTAATGGGAAACGCGGCACAGGATTAAATGCTATGCTGCCCAGGATATTGGACAGGATATTGGACAGGACAGTCATCTTGTTTGCCGTTGTATATCCATTTTTCATGATCTATGACGTCGTTGTTTTGTCATCTGCTGGCCATATGACTGTCATCGAGTGTTCTGTTTTTTTCAGGACGTTCCGAAATGTTTGCGGTGGTAGGACAGACCACCTTGTTACAATGCCTCAGTTTAAAAAACTGCATCATGAAGGCTTCTTTACCATCCCACACTCCGGATTCTTGTTGGTCCTTCAGTTGTGTTCTAGCTCGCTAAAAAAAGGTATTTGTTAAAGCTCACGTCAGGAGGGCAAATCTGCCAAAATCTAGTGCGTTTTGCGGCTTTTATCTAATATAATTTGAATTTTAAACTGCAGTCAGGGGTGCACGGTACGATGCCGCCCGGGAGGTGGAGCACCCGCGTACTGTAATCACCACCCGCCTCCCGTCCGTCAGCGGGGCTGAGGTAGCCCCAGCCGTCAGCGGGGCTGAGGCAGCCCCAGCCGTCAGCGGGGCTGGGGCTGCCCCAGCTGACAGCGGGGCTGCCTCAGCTCCAGCCGTCAGTGGGGCTGAGGCAGCCCCAGCCGTCAGCGGGACTGAGGCAGCCCCAGCCGTCAGTGGGGCTGAGGCAGCCCCAGCCGTCAGCGGGACTGAGGCAGCCCCAGCCGTCAGCGGGACTGAGGCAGCCCCAGCCGTCAGTGGGGCTGAGGCAGCCCCAGCCGTCAGCGGGACTGAGGCAGCCCCAGCCGTCAGTGGGGCTGAGGCAGCCCCAGCCGTCAGTGGGGCTGAGGCAGCCCCAGCCGTCAGCGGGACTGAGGCAGCCCCAGCCGTCAGTGGGGCTGAGGCAGCCCCAGCCGTCAGCGGGACTGAGGCAGCCCCAGCCGTCAGTGGGGCTGGGGGACGGTCGCGTTCGGTCATCAGCCGTGGGCGGAGGCGGACCGACATAGGACCCTCCCGCCGTCTCAGCCATCAGTAACAGGCGCAACACGGCCAGTCACCGTGCGGTTGTCCGGACCGGGCCTCAGGCCGGACCGCTGAAAGGAAAGTATTGCGGGCGAGCCAAAGTTCGGACTCTACCGGGCAAGCGGTGTCGCTTGCAATGGCGTAATGCCCATCCAGCGAAACCTACGGCAGTAAGCACCCAGCTGTGGCATGTCTGAACCAAGCTTCAGATGAAGTGACGATATCTGACAAACAATTAAGTGAGATTAAATTGAGATTAAAATGTTGCTATTGAAACACGTTTGCTTGCGCCAGTGAGCGGCATCACAAGTGCATTCAAATCTTTCAATGTGACCAACCACCCAATCATCATCAAATGATATTGGTGATATGACCAATCATCACCAAAGCTTCAAATCCTGTCCCTTACAATGTATGCCCTGCGCTCCATGGTGACTCGCCACCGAGTCGAGCATTAGCTCTGTGGTATTGGTGTTTCTTGTCCCAACCCACATAATGCGTTATTGCGAATGGAAGCTAATGGTATGTAAACATCGATAAGCATATGGATAAAACTCGGCACGATGACCTGAGGTCGCACCGGCGCCGACCTGCCACGCAATCAGTTTCACTTAAACCGAGCTCATTCTCAGATCGCAATGATATACAAATAGTTATGGCCCGCCGTTCACTCCGACTCCCTTTGAACTTAACAGCCATCAAACATGGTGGAACTTGACCCAAGTATGGCTATTTGTCCTCATCGGAGCGCCTGGAGCCGCCTTTGAGCACGCGCCGCCTCGGGGGACTTAGTTTGAATTGGCTGCTTGCTAGCCCGCCGTGCGAGCGCGCTGCACCGGGGGCGGGGCGGGCGCCGAGCGCACGGCTCTCCCAGGTGAACACACTTTGATGAAGGTCTGCGCGAGCTCCATTTTCGCGACGAAGTGGCGTCTCGTCCGAGGTAGCGATGGTCCCGTCTTTGGATGGGGGGGGGGGGGGGGGAGGGGCTCAGGCAGCATCCGGTCAGTAGCGTCGCCGAAAGCAGGCGATGCTGGGAGTTTTGTAGGTGATAATTTTCCAGTGTGTGAATCCTGTTCTGATCCTGATCTGATTAATAAATGCTGTTATTTGCTGTCGGGGTCAGTCTGATAAGAATCCAGGCTGGTCGGATGTCCGGGTACGGCCCCACTCGGGTCAGCTTATGCTAGCCGCTCCACTTGTTGGCCTTTATACATATTCAAAAGTAATATAAATTAAAATGTAAAATGTACAACGCTGGAATGTAATAGAACACAGCCCTCTTCTGAAGATTTTGCTTCTTCCGAGCAAGCATGGACTCGCGTTTTTTTTGGCATCATTAGACGAAGCTCTTATGTTGATGATAGTCGACCATCCTCACTAAGGAAGGTAGATAGTATTGGATTTTAGGGTCATTTGATTTCGCAGGCGCAAGGCGCTATTTTACACCTGTGTTATTGCATTAACATGACCAACCCTTGCTCGTTCTTGAATGTTCAATATTCAGTCGGAATCGATGCCTAAAACATTACAGACATAGTTTTAAACGTGCGCTCCTGAGTCTTAGAACAAAATACCCTCGACGCACGTGTTTGCAGTCTCCATAGGCCGCAGCGTCGGCTCCGCACCTTACATTAGGCGGCGGCCAACGGGTGGACAAAATGATGACGCATCTGGATTAAATATCCCGTGACTCTTTGCCTCGCCTTTGTCATCATTGCAGGCGATGCCCCGCTGGTGGCTTAAGGCACACCGTGTCAAGATGAGCCACAGATGGCGCGCCCGAAAATCAGCTGGATGTGTAAATATTTGTTTTTGGACCCCTTCGTTAGATACTTTTTTCTCCGCCACTGAAGAACGACGGAGGCTTACATCCCACAAAAGATCCTTCGTGATATCTGGTCTCATCAGAGCGCAAATAACTTTATTGTTGAGCAGGCATACACCCAGAACTTTCCGAATGAAGTGGGAAGAAATGCCTAGCTTTTTTCGAACTGATGACCATTTGGACCATCTTCTTGCGAAATCTCTCAATACCTAGCGTGATATCTAGCAAGCTGCCTCTTGGCTCAGGACGGAAAAGGAGGCATGGGCTCTCCCCTGGTGACTGCTCCCCCACCCCCGCCCCCCCCCCCCCCGTTGATCACGTGACTGCAGCCGAGACACCCCTGGAACTGAATTGCGTCAAGATACGTGATTGCACAGATACTCGATTGCTGCTTATTCGATTGAAGCGAAACGAAATACGACGGACTTTTTACTATGCGATAAAACAAACAGCAGTCAGGACCGGTTCACACTGTGACCGGCCCGCCGGACCATACCGCCGCCGGACCGTCTTCCGGCCCAGCCAAGACCGGTTCACACTGTGACCGGCCCGCCGGACCATACCGCCGCCGGCCCGTCTTCCGGCCCACATATGACGGATATGACGGTCTTCTATGACGGATATGACGGTCGATCTTCCTCTGACGGTCCTATGAAGAAGGGGACAGCGGCCACCGCCGGTGCGGGGGGGGGGAGGGGGCACAGTCCGGCGCCAGGAATGGAAAGTTGGGTTTTGTGAACTTTTCTGCGCTCATGTGGGGGCCATCGGCCGGGCACCGTCTTGGGGACAGTGCGGTCAAATAACGGACCCGACGAATACACGTGCTGATCGACTCCGGTGTGGGCGATACGAGTGGAAGGCGTTCAGGTAAAACATCTTTTTTATTTAATATGATGCGATCTGTGCTAGGAGATCGACTTGCAAACTAAAAAACATCGCAGGCTGTTTGATTTTCATTCTCCAACTGAGGACAGCAATGTGCAGCCCCTTTACGGAAAGATGATATTGCTTATCTGAAAAGCACTGCAAAATAAAAAACAGACCCTACCCTTCCGGAGTATGAGAAGAAAACAACGCGTGCTGTTAAACTCTTGGCTAAAAGCCAAGTTCTTGATTTAAAACGAACAAGCATGTCAGCAAAATTATTGTGCAGAAAACTTATACAGTAGTCAAATTTGCCAAACATTTGGTAAAATAAACTAATGAACACACTATTGCACTAAAAGCTAGAACACATTTTATAAGGCCATCTGACGCCGTGAATTCGTACAGTGAAACCGCCAAACCAGTTTCAGCCCGCTGCAGTCGCTGACCCATTATAGCGCAAGCCAACGCAGATGTCACAGTGCTGTCGAGTGCGGTCCGATCCGCCAAACCAGTTCCAACCCGC